TCACATCTATTTACATATGTGTATACATATATACATTAATATATATACATATATACACACATATGAATGCACTTCATAAAGCTTTTTTCACCCTATAACTCTCTTTAAAATTGCTCAGAAGTAGTTTGAGGTCGTACTAGCCACTGCAATGATATCGTATAGACTTATAGTTAAAACTACTAGTATAAGAAGCTATCTTAGACCCACAGAAGGCTGATTTACTCGAATTTAAAATCATTAAAAACATCAAACAGGTCACAAATTCAACATCTTGGTCACCAGCAGTAAGTCCAAAATTGTTTTATTATTTGTATTCAATGAATCTGCCATTCACCAGGAAAGAAAGCCACAATACTTCTAACAAATGATGGGAAATAATATCAATATGGACCCTTGTGATTAGTTTAATGTTCATTAAGTCTACAAGAAGATCACATTATCAAAAAGTCTTTCATTTTTCACATTAAAGAATTAAGCAATCCATTCTATGCAAACAGTAATACTACTGAGTACCATTATTCAAAGCTTTTCAACTGGATAAACATTGGCCGACTTTCCATCCCCATTACTGTGCTATAGTTTCCCATCTCTGTACCTTGGTTCATATTACCTACAATGCCTGGAATGCATTCTCTGGCCTCACCCTAACCTTGTCTGCACAAATATTTCTTTGTCTACAATGTTCCACTCAAGTGCCACTTCTTACCTGAGGCTTTTCCTGATCTCTATCCTCACCCTAGGTGAAAGAAATCTCTCCTTTTTAAACTTTCGCGAAACATTTTGATTAGACCAATCCTTGACATTTACGACATTATGTTTACAGATATTATCTCCTTTGATGCTCACAACAATCCCGGGAGACATGTGCTGTTATCTACCTTTTTACAGTTGAGGAAAATGAAGCAGAAAGAGGTAAAGTGACTTGCCTAGAATTACACAGCTAGGAAGTATCTGAGGCTGCATTTGAACTCAGCATCAGGCCTGGCACTCCATCCACTTCACCACAGCTGCCTCAGTGCATTAAGGTTTGCAAAGTACTTAATATATTCTCTCATTTGGGCTTTCCAACATCCCTGTAAAATAGCTACTGCAGGTATTATGATCCCACTTTACAAATGAAGACATCACGGGTCAAAGACTCGTGTCAAAGTCAAATGACTTGTCCACAATCTCACAGCCAGTAAGTATGAGAGGTGGGATCCAAACCCAAATCTTCCTAGTCCATGTCAGCTTTCTTTCCATTATAATTCTGTTTTCTGAATGAAAGACTAAGTGAATGAATAAACCCCAGATCTGGCAGCACTCTCTAACAGTTATTAATTCAGCACCCACACAGACAGGAACAGAGGCAATTTAGAACTGACAGAATGCTCCTGAGCCAGATTCAACGTGGGCAGGCACTGTAAGGTAAGCACAATGATTCTATAATACCATACTGCTGAGAAGACAGGATTTGGAGATTCCAGAAACCCCCAGTGCAGTCCCTGAACTCCAACATGATGCTGCTTCTCCCTACTTCTTTTTCCGTTAGGCTTCCCCAGTACTCTTCAATTTTCATTTATAGTCCTCACTCTTCAGCTGGAAATTTCACAAACCGTCACCAAGGATCCCTGCTCTTTAACTATGTCAACACTGTTGTAGTGTCTAGCTCTAAAAGGCTACTTCAGCAAACTAGTGCCTACCTGAAGTCATTTGTTGGTTTCAGTCACCAGTGTCAGTCCAATTTAAATCCAGCACGAACAGCTCTAGGATGCTCAGATTCAATGTTACCTATTGATTAGGCTAACTTATTTTAAATTTACTCCTATAAATAAGACTATGTATTACACACTGAATATTCAGACACATTTGACAAAAAAGTTTTTCAGAAAAGAATGTTGAAAATGAGCTTTATCTGATTTACTGATAAAAATGGCCCCCTGTACCGAAAAGAATTAGTAGGAGGGGGGAAAGTCCTACAACAGAAAGGCACTTTGGAAACCTTAAAAAAGTTATCATTATTATCAGTTAGCAAGAGTCCAAGCCAGAAAAAAATTATGAAAAAAAGTGCCTTATGGACACCAAGATTTAACTAAAGTATTAAAACTAACTTAGTCACCCTCCTTAGATGATATTTCTTTAGTACGATTCTTTAACCTACTAGGAAAACATCAGCTTTGATGTGAACTGGATCTAAAATAGAACAATACATTCTGGGCCACAGTTAAAGTGCACATGTTTAGATTTCTGACAGGTCATCCATTTGGAAAGTGTTTGCCTCCACTGCCAAAAGGAACCGTTTTATAAACATTCGGGAGGAATACTGTAACAATTATAAAGGGTATTAAAAACTAATTGTCAATCCAGATGGAAGAGGAAGGAGGAATCTTTCCCTCACCTCATTTTAAACTTTAAATGGAGGACATTCCATTTCCCTCCCGCTGTGGTTTACTTAATGTCCCCGGGAGTACTTAGGCCATACGTAGTACCACAGTACCAAGGTCACACAGTCAGCAAAACGTGTCAAAGCACCTAGAGGCAAGCCCTAGCAATGTTGGGTAGAACAACATTTATGAACTCAGGAAATCAAGAAAGAGAAGGTGTGGCTGGGTTTTGATCTTTACTGTTGAAGGGAGTACCCACGTAGACGAAACCATGGATCCATTGAAGTAGTGAAAGGAATTGCTACATGCTCAGCATACTCTGATATCTGTGTTATCTGCCCCTTCCATTCTTCTTTCTGTGTAGATTCCCGATCTTGTTTTCCCTCAAGTCTATCATATGGCACCTACCCAATGACACTCGGTAAAAGGGAAGGATAAAGAATGGGAGCATTGCCTGTAGTAGGTCCACGTTCAACCTGTTGTCCTGTTACTCGTGCTGGAGAACAACTCGGGCTCCGAATTCTGGGTGCTCAGTCCTTTCAGGAAGTCGTTTATTAAGGCACATTTATTAAGTGCCTAGGACGCACCAGACACCGCGTTAAGCGATGGGAATACAAAGAAAGGCAAAAAGGCAGTCCCTGCTCTCAAGGAGCTAGCTTACGTTAGGAAGCACTTATTAAGCACCTACTATGATGTGCTAGGCGGGCACTGCGCTTTCCCGACTCTCCTTCAGGGTGAGGAGCTAGGGAGAGCACACTCGAGGTGTCGGACTTTCCACCTGGGCGCCAGGGGAAATAAAGTTTGGGAAAACTCATTCCTAGTCCACTCTCCACCTCCGAGGGCAGCGGTGAACCCGGCCTAGGAACTCAGCTCCTCCAGTTCATTCAGGACTCCTTGCCCTCCGGCGGCCGCACGACCCGAGAGGCAGCAGGGCTCCCAGGCTCCGGACCCTCCCCCACCCCCACCTTGGCCGGACCCTTTCCGACCTCCGCGCCCCACGTCCCCCCTCCCCCACCCTCCCCTTCACGCAGACCCCTCCCCTTCCCCGTACCGGGCCTGCGCCTCGTCCAAGCTCTGGTCGGTGATGGCCATGATCTGCTGCAGGATATCGCCGGTGTCCTGGTGCGGGCCGGGTCCCGGGGCGGGCGGCGGGGGCCCCGGCTGCGGCGGGAGGCGGTGCGGGGCCGCGGGCTCCAGCTCCTCAGCGTCGGGCGGCGGCAGGGGTAGGGGCGGAATCCCGGAGAGCGCCCCCACGGGGTGCGTGGCCGCAGCAGCCGCCGCCGCCGCCGCCGCCAACAGCCGGGACGGGTCGTCCATGGCCCGGAGGCGCTGAGGGAGGGGGAGCCCGCGGGGCCTCCGGCGTTGTCGGCGACCAACAGCCCCGCGCCTCGCGACCGCCTTGCGCGCTCCGACAGGCCCCGCCGCGGGGGCGCGCGCCTGGTCCCGCCCCCGGCCGGCCGGCCGCTTTCCGTTCCCGCGGCGCGCGCCAGCGCGAGTCCGCCCTCAGCCACGCCCCGCGCCGCAGGGAGGCCGCTGGCTCCGTTGCCGGGGCAACAGCCTCCGCCCCCGCCCTACACTTGGCGGGTCCAAGTCTAGGCTTCAGGGTTGCCCGCCCCCCCTCCCCCCCGTCCCTCCCTCAGACATCTCCATCCGCCCCCTCCAGAAGAGAGGCCACATTCTGAGGTTGGGGGAGGCTGAGCCCCCAAACTGACGCTGGGCTGGAGGAGGCTGAATCCTAATCTGAGGCGGGGTTAGGGAAGGTTAAACCCCCAATATGGGGCTAGACTAAGAGGAGGCTGAGCCGGGTCCTAATCTGAGGCAGGGTTGGGGGAGGCTGAGTTTCCCAATCTGAGGTTAAAGTGGAGGAGGCTGAGCCCCAAACTAAGGTTGAGACAGGGCTGGCTGAACTCCAGTCTGAGGCTGTCCTTGTGGTAAACTGAGGCTGCCTCCAGGGAATGGCTCTTCCTCTAAAGAGTAATCAGACCTGGTGCCATGGCAAAGCCTCATTTCCTATTATCCTGGGGAGGAGGGAGTAATCCCAAGGCTCTTGAGGTATACCTTATAGGCCACATTCCATCATTTCTATCCCTAGAGGAGCTTTCCTATTCCAAGAGACTCTGGCCTCAAACAGATGGACACAGGCCTGAGTTGGGGGCAGAGGAAGGGACAGTGGAGTTGCAAGCCACTCCCCCTTCCCCATCTGCTCACAAAGCACCCTCCCTTCTCCGACTATCACAGATAGTGATTGCTTTTAGACAAAGCAAGATGGAGAATCTTTGTCTCTGCTGGGCTGAGTGCTTTGAAGGGTCACACCCTTTGGAAACTGGAGGCCCCAGGTTTCCAAGGGGACCAGTTGGATGAAGGGATATAGCCCTTAATTGTGGATCAGGAAACAGACCACCCACAGGAATCGAAAGGAGATAGGATTGGGGCAGGGCTGTTCCAGACAGAACCCCACTCCCATATATGTTGAAGGGCCAGAAATGCCTAGCTTAGGTCAATACAAGGCTTCAGTCAATGGAGGAGAGGGGACGGGGAGGCAGATTCCCAGCTCTGGCTTATGGGGAAGGGTTGGGGGAGGATAGGCAGAAACTTCAGCTACCCATTTTCCCCACAGAATTAGATCCAACCAGATTATGAATCCATGGTCCTTATTAATTAATCCCTTTGATCTGGGAAGCATATCCACGATGTCCAAACCAAGAATTAAAGGGAGCCCTGTCTCAGCCCCCAAGGGTTAGTCAAATGTTTGTAAAATTGTCAAATAGAAGCATCTCTCTTCTCCCCACTAAGTGGGGGTGGGGGTAGGGGGCTACAGACAACCCTAAGGTTACATCAAGGCAAATTGATGGTGGATACTGGCCCTGACCTTGATAGTCTATGGCCCCAGTAGTCGGTTTCATCTCATTTGAAGGGGTTAAGTCTCAGCCTGCCTTAGAGACAGTTCACTATTCATTACCCCAGTTCGCAGCAGTCAGTTCCCACCCCAATCACAGTTATCAGTCCTGTCCTATTGGTGTAGAGACAGCTAAAGGGAAGAATCCACCAGGGGATGGCCACTGTCAGGAAGATTGATCCTCATTCCAGGTCTTGGCCCATTTTGGGGCATGTGGCGGGAAGAGCTCCTCAAGCAGCCACAGAGTAGACGGCGGAAGGTACTGCGCATCTCAGCATCCCGACATGAATATACAACTGGGTTGACCAGTGAGTTAGCCTCCGCCAAAAGCAGGAAGTACTTCTCCACAGCTAAGACATTGCAGGAGTCACAGCCCAGCCCATCCAGAAGCAATACCACCTGTCCAGGTGTCCAGCAAACCACAAATGCCCCTAGGGACAGAGAACAGAGTAATTAGTGGTTGTTAGTGTGGGCTCAGTCAAAGTGTTGCTCACTCTGAGGGCTCTGGTCAGCTGGGGTGTGTTAGTCACTCATAGAGGAGTACCAATTACTCCAGAGGGAAGAATCAGTTATTTTCAAAGAAACTAGTTACTTTTGGGGGGGGGGAATAAATCACAAATGCCAGGAGGTCAACCATTCTCAGAGAGGGTAGATCACTAGAAGGGTGGAGGGCAGTCCAACTACTTTAAAGGAGGAGGCTGTCATAGCTAGTATCAAATCAATCAGTTAGAAGGGGTTGGGACAGTTACTCTAAGGAAGCTGGTTTTTCTGAGAGGAAAGATCCCTACAGGTAAGTCGGTCACTTTTTTGGGGGGGAGGGGCAGTCAGTGGTAACTAGTGAGGGAGTCAATGAATGGGTCAGTCATTGGGAAGGAGCTAGTCATTGAAGGGAGGAGGTCCACATTGTAGACAAAGTTCCCTCACCCAAAATGATGACCACTGTCTTGACTAGAGCAACTGTGGTCTCACGGTAGCGTGGGTGGAAGCCAGCGTGTTGTGACATGCGATTCATGCGCCTTCGAACATAGAAGAAGATGCGTGCATAGACAGCTGCCATAAGCAGGAAGGCCAGCAGGTTCCCAAGGGCCCAGGCAGTCAGGAAGGTGCGGCTGTAGAGCGGGGCCAGGCGGGCACAGTGGTCCAGGTTACACAAGCAGTTCCAGTAGGAGGGCAAAAGTGCCAGGCCCAGCGCAACTACCCAACTGCCAGCCATGAGCAGCAACACACGGCCCCGGGGTAGGAGGCTCAGTGGCTGCACTGCCATGACACTGCGGTGCCGCTCCACTGCGATGGCCAGCAGGTTGACAACAGAAGCACTGAGGCTAGCGTCCAGCAGACCCTGTCGCAAAAACCAGACCCTCACTGAGAGCTGGGCTGTTCGGGGGCCTGTGTGCAGCATGAGGAACAGGTAGGCCAATCCTGCAAACAGATCAGCTGCAGCCAGGTTCCCTAGCAGATAGTAAATGGGTAGGTGTAGCCGCCGGTTGGACATTATGGCCACAATGACCAGCAGATTGGTCAGTAGAACCACTACACTGACGGTAAGCCCCAGGACCACCATTACCACGTCCTTGGGCTGCCAGGACAGACTCAAATGCTTCCCACTGTGGTTGTAGAAGAAGCTCACAGATTCATTATCGTAACAGTGATCCATGACTGCAGCCAAAGCCTGGGGACATGAGAAGCTAGTGGTCAATGAAGACAAAGAGAGAAGGAGTAATCTCTGTGAAGACACAAGAAGCTAACAATGTTGGGACATGAGGGAGGCAGAGGTCAGTCAGTGGGACGTCAGGAAGGAGACAAAGGGGTTGGCTAATGAAAGGATACAGATGGAGGGTAGTCAGGATGCCCAATGTGAGAGAGAGGCCAGCCAATGACAGAGAAGTCAGTATGAGGAATAGCGGTTCACTCAGTGAAAGGAGATGGAAGAGGCAGTAGTGGTCACTATGGAGACATAGGATAGGAGGCTGGATAACCAGGGAAGGTAAAAATTAGTGAGGAGACACAGGTGAGGGGTAGTTGGTAAGAAGAACCAGTTAAAGAAGTGATGTGGGAGCATAGAATGTGGTAGTTGTGTTTGAAAGGGGAAAGATCAGTCAGGTCATTTCTATGAGAAAATACCACTACTGTCCAAAGATCAGCATAGTACCTTTGCATTTAGAAGGCAATCAATCAATATAGTATTGACTTAGCACTTACTCTGTGCCAGGCACACTAATTGGCTTTGGGATTATACAAAGAAAGGCAGAAACAGTCCCAGCACTCAAGGAGCTTAATACACTAATGAAGGTGATAACATATAAATAAATAGGCATATGCAAGTTGGAGGCAGCTAGGTGGTTCAGTGGATAGATTGCTCTGCCTGGAGTCAGGAAGACTTGAGTTCAAATCTGGCCTCACATATTAGCTGTGTGGCCCTGGATAAGTCATTTAACCTCTGTTTGCCTTAATCCACTGGAAAAGGAAATGACAAACTATTCCAGTATCTTTGCCAAGAAAACCCCCAGGACAGCATTGGTATGCTATGGTCCATGGGGTCACATAGAGTAGAACATGACTGACTGAACAATATACAAGTTAAATACAGAGAACCTTAGAAGCAAAGGCTAGCAGCCAGGGAGGGGGATGGGAAACTGGGAAAGGCTTTCTGCAGAAGGTGGCAGTCAAGCTGAGTCATTAAAGAATCCAGGGGTGTCAAGAAACAGAGGTAAGAAGAAAGCATTCCAAGCATGGGGGACATACAGTACAAATACAGAGGTGGGGAAAGAAGTTTCAACTGTGTGGAAATAGGCTAACATCCAGAGAGGAATAAAGTGTGAGGAGTGGAAGAGTAGGAAGGGGCCCAGGTTGTAAAAAGCCTTAATTGCCTAGCAAAAGATTTCTCTTACTTGATCCTGGAGGTGAAAAGGAGTAATTGGACTTTGAGTGTGTGTGGGAGTGACATGGTTTATGAAAATCACTCATAGTTGTGTAGAAGGTGAATTGGAATGGGGAGACACTTGAGACATGAAGGCCAACCAGCAAGCTATTGCAATAGCCAGGTGAGAGGTGATGTGGGCATGCATCAGAGTGATGGCTGTGTCAAGGGAGAGAAGGGGATATTTACAATGGATTTGGTTAAAGCAGAAATGGCAAGACTTGGTGGCAGATTGGATAAGTGGAATGAGAGGAGCCCAGAAGGACATTAAGATTGGAAGTGAGGGTAACTTGGAGGACAGTAGTGCCCTTAACAATAACAAGAAAATTGAAAAAGGGGGGAGGGTTGGAAGAAGCTTATAATAAGCTATTTTGGACATACTGAGTTTGAGAAGGCTGCCAAACAGGCAGTTGTTGATGTAAGACCAGAACTCAGAAGAAAAACTAGGGCTGGATATATTAGATTTGGGAAACAAATTCATAGAAAGAACTGAACCCAGGAGAGCTAGTGAGATCACCAAAGAAGAGGGTATACAGACAAAAAAGGGCCCAGGACAGAGCCGAAGGGTTCACCTACATCTATAAGGCAGTACAAGGATGAAGATCCAGCAAAGGAGACTGAGAAGGAGCAGTCAGAGAGGTAGGAGAAACAAGAGAGAGGAATGTCATGAAAACTGAAAGTGGAGTTTCCAACAGAAGGTGACTGGCCTCTGCTGGGAACAGGGAGATATGTAGAGAGGAGAGGTAAGAATAAAAGAAGGAGAGGGAAGGGAAGGGAGGGGGAGGGGAGGGGCGAGGGAGAGGGAAGACAAATAGAATGAGGGTGATACCAGTGAGAAACTCTCTGCACATTGAGAGAGGGGGCCCCCCCAAAGACCCCCTAGGAGCAATAAGCAGATCTGAAACAGGGACCCCCATTCCTCCCTTCATCGAAAAGGCCTGGTGGCAGTTTTGGCACTTGAGGTCTATCCTTGGATAGAGTGGTCTTGTCAAGCAGGGTTTTTGCGGCCCCCCCCCCACTTTGATCAGCAGGCAGCTTTAGAACCACCTAACAACCAACGGTTTCACTCCATTTCCCAACACTAAGAAGTCCGCAGGCTGCCGCTCTCCCATCTAGGACCCAGCAAACATCCCAGCCCCTCTCACCGATGCAGCTACAGACTAGCAGCCCCTAAAGAGAAGCCGGCCTCCTAACCCCTAACTTTTCCCACATTCCTCCCGGCCCCTTCCCCTTCCTCCAACTCTTCGCAGTCTTTTGGTCCCTCCTCCCATCAGCTCCCTCCCCCAGGATGCCTAAGAGGGGCCTCCCCCGGGGCCCCTTCCCGTTCAAACCCCGTTTGCAAGTGAAGCCCCAACTCCCAGGAGCAGAATCCTGGCTCAGGGCCGGGCCTCCTCCGAGCCCTCTCCCCAGGTCCGCCCGTCACAAAGCCCTTCCGGCCCTTCTCCCCCATCCCGGGCCCGCCACCGAGCCCCTTCCCCACCCAATCGCTGGCCCGCCAGAAGTCACCTACAGCAGTCTCTCCCGTCCCAGGCCCGCCGCAGAGCCCCAGTCACCTAAGTCCCCCACCCACAACCCCCCCAGCCCAGCCATTGGGCCCCCCCACCCTCCTCTCCCGGAACCCCCTCCTTCCCAGAGCCAGAGACCTGAGACCACCTGGAGCCGGTTTCTCCGCGTGCGGCCCTGTGGGCGGCGCCTGGGCGGGCGGGAGAGGGACTGGCAGCAGGAGGCGTTCCCTGTGATTTCTGCAGAATCTCGGCCCTGCCCAATTTCTCTGGCCCAGGCCGAGGCAAGCTTGACTGCCTACTTGCGGAAGAGGGCTCCTTGAAGGCCTCTCTTATACTTTATTTTTATGTAGAATGTAAATTCTTTGAAGGCAGAGACCATTTCTTTTTTTTTTTGTCTTTGTAACCGCAAAGCCTGTTACTTATGAAGGTTAATAAATGCTTGTTGAATTAAGGACTGGGAAATTTGCTCCGTGGCCTCCCTCTGAGCTAGGGGTGAGGTGGGGTGGAGTAGGTGTTTCCTCTTAGGTTGGCACCTCCGGTTCTCCCCCTTCACCATGCCACCCACACTCACCTCCCTCTCCAGCCTCTGGACCTTGTAGCTTGGCCAGGGCTATTAGGTAGGGTCACCAGTCTGTGCCCTCCTTGATCCTTCATTAGATGGTCACCTCTGCCCTATATATAACCCAAGTCAGACAGCCAGAAACAAGGAAGACAGAGAAATTTATTGACTGCTAGTTCGTGACAGCAATGGTCAGTGAGAGCAAGGGGAATATGGTCACTCCAACTGCTCTGAGTGACCAGAAAATGATTTGCGTTGACTCTGAGGCTCTCAGGATGGGGAGGAAGGAGTATAAGTCACAAATGGTCCTCAGCCTCCTCAAACTGGGAATGGAGCTCAGGCTGGGGTTGGAATTGGGGCTGGGACTGGGACTGGGGCTGGGGCTGGGGCTGGGACTGGGGCTGGGGCTGGGGCTGGGACTGGGACTGGGGCTGGGGCTGGGACTGGGACTGGGGCTGGGGCTGGGACTGGGGCTGGGGCTGGTGCTGGTGCTGGGACTGGGGCTGGGGCTGGGGCTGGGGCTGGGGCTGGGGCTGGAACTGGGGCTGGGGCTGGGGCTGGGGCTGGAACTGGGGCTGGGGCTGGGGCTGGGGCTGGGGCTGGGGCTGGGGCTGGGACTGGGGCTGGGACTGGGACTGGGACTGAGGCTCTAGCTCAGGCCAGCAGGGGGATTCCCTGCCATCCTGAGACTCTTCTCTCTGGAGTTTGGAGAGGAGTCGGGCTGTCTCCTGGGTAATCTCAAAGTGCTTTGGCAGTTTGGCTCGGCGAAGGGGGCTGCCTTCTGGGGAGGCACTGGTCCAAGGACCCTGGCCCCGAAGGCTTCCATGTCGGTCCTTGATAGGGGTTTCCTCACAGAGTTTAGAGGCCACCAGGGCCAGGCTGGACAACTGGTGGATGACAGGCCTGACTCCTCCTGCCCGGGGATATTTCACAGGCTGGCGACTAAAGTGTCCCCGGGATTGTGTCCCTAGAGGGGTTTCCTCACGAACTTGACTGGAATCTGACAGAGGAAAGGCATCTGATTAGTTTTTGCCTCCCTAAATCTCCCTCCAACATTATTCCTATATACTATACCTCTAAACCCACAGTTATCCCCAGGTCACTGGAACCCCAAGTTCTGTAGGCAGTTAGAGTACTGGACCTGGAGTCAGGAATTGTTGTTCAGTTGTGTGAGATTCTTCCTGACTCTGTGGGCCATACTGTCCATGGGGTTTTCTTGACAAAGATACTGGAGTGGTTTGCCATTTCCTTCTCCAGTGGATTAAGGCAAACAGAGGTTAAGTGATTTGCCCAGGGTCACACAGCTAGTTAAGTGTCTGAAGGTGGATTTGAATTCTGGTCTTCCTGACTCCAGGCTCAGTATTTTATCCACTGAACCATCTAGCTACCTGTGGAGCCAGGAATAGCTGAGTTCAAATAGGTACTTACTAGCTGTGTGACTGAACAAGTCACTTAACCTCTCTATGCCTCATTTTCCTCATCTGTAAAATGGGGATAATAGCATCTATCTCCCAGGGTTGTTGTAAGGATAAAATAAGACAATATCTCTAAAATGCTTTGCAAACCTATGTAAATGCTAGCTATTATTATTACTAGTAACAATTAAATTCACTTAGGGCCACAGTATCCCAAACTTCTCAGGGATGTTCAAGATATCAGAGCTGTCAGCCCTTCCTCAGTTACCTCCCAGAGTAACCCCCAAATCTCTAAGGCAGAGTCATGTCTACCTAAGACCTCCCAGACATCTTCTAACCACTACACTCACCTTCTCTTCCCTCTTCTGAGGGGTTCCCAACGACCCACTCAATGAAGTCACCTTTGGATGGTGAAGTCTGTGAAGAGAAGCATCAGTAAAAGCCAAGAGACTGAAACGGTCCCAACTCTGAGACCCAAAGAGTCTGATCCAGGATAGACCTAGAGACTTTGATCCAGGATAGAACTACAGAGCAAACCAGGCACTCTGACCTGGGACAGAAACAAAGACCCAAAGGTGGCTCAAAAGGTTTAGCCCAAGACAGGTAGTCTAACCCAGACATTCAGAGAGTCTCACTTGGGATTGACCCAGAGATTTTAACATGGCCTGGAGACAAAGAAGCTCCCAAAGTCAAACCCAAGACCAAAAGCGTCTAAACCGGGACAGAGAGAGAGAAATCCTGAGAGTTTATACAAGACAGACCCATAGAGTCTTACCCTGGCCATGAACAAATACAGAGATGGATTCCTACTCAGTGAGCCTGACCCGGGACACACTCCAGCACAGTGCTCAGGAGCGCGCAGGACCCCTCACAAATCTCACTCTTTCCCTACTCCTTGGAAATTCTCCCCTTAGTCAGCAGAATTTACACAAAACCTTAACTACTTTTGGAGGAAAGCTCTCTGATAATATAAAACAATCCCTCAGGTGTGCTGGAATTTGGGCAAGTTCATGCTTCCACATGCATCATCATATTCTAGGACATACCACTCCCCACCCCTATCCATTCCCCATGGGACGCAGAATGTCATTTCCTCTTTACAATTTACTTATACCATTCCCTATCATCTCTGACACTATAGCCTCTATATAGACACAGTCACACCCCCCCTAACTATTAGCACACTATTCATTCTTCCCTGTTACCCTATTGTTCCTGTTCCCCTCCCCCATTACCCTGAAGCTATTGCTTCACCACTTCCCTTGACTGGGCCCAGGCTCTCTGGCAGTGCACAGGACCTCCACTGAGGTTGTACTGGAGAGAGGGCTGGAGACTGACTATTAACGGATCCTACCTCATCAGATGATGCTTGGACCCCTGAAGTCCCAGACCCCTCTTCAGTAGAGGTCTGTGTGACATGATCAGGAGTTCCAGAGTCAGATGTTTCTGCGGTGGTCGGAGGGAGTTCTTCCATCCCGAAGACATCCTCATAGTGGAGGATGAGAAACTCGACCATCTGGGCCTGGTATCCTGAGTCCAGGAGGCAGGCCACTGGGTTGGCGCTAACCCCACCCTGGCCCTTTGGTGGCCGAAGCAGCGTTGGCCCAAACACGATGCCCAAGTTGTTGGCTGACATCTTGTTTTCCTCAAACCTTGAGGCCACCCTGGAGGAAGATCTGGGTTCAGAGGTTGCTACTTTGAGACCTCTAGCCCCTGGCCCAAGCCCCAGCCCCAACCCTACCTGAACAAATGGGCCACCAGATGCCGGAGAGTATTGTAGTTAGAGCCAGGCAACTGTCTCAGGAGAGTTCTCAGGGCACTGACAGCTTCAGCCACAGAGTCAGCACTGGGGCTGGGGTCAAGATTGAGTTCACATTCAGAGCTCCCTGAGGCATCTGATGATACCCCTGGTTGAAAAGTCTTAGCCAGAGAGATGAAGGCACCATAGAGTTGAGAGGGGATGATAGAATCTGTGAGCTGGGAGAACAAGGAGTGTTCTGGCTTAACTCCCAGAACAGATCTCAGTTTGCTGCTCCACCCTCCTATCCCTCATGGGCTCCCATCTTCCCCACCTGACTTCCATCCTTTAGTCTCCCAAGCCTAGTACCCAAGTTCAGCCCTCCACCATCCTCCTTGGCTCCCTGATGCCCCCTTCCCATCTGGCCTGAGCCCCACCTCCTTAAGAAAGTGCTTGAGTACTCCAGTGACATCGTGGGGAGAGTTACCCGACAACTCCACCAAGGCCCAGCCATTTTCAAAGGCCTGACATAGCCGCTCCACTCGAACCCGTGACCCGCTGATTCGGTAAATACCCTGAGGATTGGAGTTTTAAGTCATGAAGCCAAAGGGCCACTTAAAAGGCCCAAATCATTCAGAGCTCATGGGTCCATCAGAAGATACTGGGAAGTCAAGGATCAGATGGTTGACTCGGGGATCAAGGTCTGGCTAGGGGTCACTAGGAGTCAGGGCCTGACCCAGGGTTGGGATCAGGATTGCTTCTTCCCTCATTCCATACCTAGAATACACTCCCTCCCTAACTCTTTGTCAACAAGATCACCAGCTTCCTTCAGAGTTTAACTCAAGTGCCACATCTTAAAGGAAACCTACAATGAGCTCCTTAATTGCTAATGTGCCCCTTCCCAATTTTATATATATATATATATATATATATATATATATATATATATATATATATATATATGTATATATATATATATATATATGTATATGTATTTTGTTTAACTTTTTAATCTACACATTGGTTTCTCGAGGGCAGGGGCTGTCATTTTTGTCATTGTATCTCCAGTACACACAATGCCTGACACACAGTAGGCACTTCAATGCTTATTAAACAGAATTGACGTGGCACCTGTACACCGAGGGCACGGTGCTCAATTTCAGCAGTGCATTTGATGACCAAGAAGGGCACCTCCTCTGGGAAGTCCCGGGGCAGCTGTAGAAAGTCAACTCCAAAGAGCTGAGTTCGGGCTGGGAGCTTCCTGTGGCCACAATGAATCAGTAAAGACTGCAGGCAGCGCTTGTGGCAGGCCAGAGAGCACTGAAGGATCAATCATAAAAGGGGTAAGTGCCACCGGGAATCATGAAAAGGCTGAGAGTCATCAAATGGCAAGAGGTCAGAGAGGAGTCAGGGTCACAATACCTCCTCACACTCGATCCCGCTGACCATGAAGGTCTCACACTCACGGCACTTAGCTGGGCCTCGAAGCCTTCGAAAATGGTGGGTCTGGGCTGCAATGGATTGTGTCCACTTCTTCAATGTGTCATTGTCTGCTCCATCCCCAAGCTCTAGGGGTCAGTAGGGAAGGGATATTCAAGTTAGGGTCACCTAAGATCTGGCCCCTGATTCCCCTCTTTTTGAGGTCATCTGAGAATTCAGGGTCTGGGGCTCATTTAGGGGGATGAGTCATGAGGAGGAGAGAGAAGCTCTCACTTTTTCCAAACCTATGGGGCCGAAGGGATGACGTCCAAAGTTAAAACCTCACCAGGGCTCGATGTAGGCGAGTCCAGAGACCTAGACTCGCTGCTTCCACCTACACTGTCCACGTCGCTGCCTAGACAGATGCCCAGGCTCCCTGGATGGAAAGGAAGGCAGAGAGTGAGTATAAAACCTTCTGAGGGCCCCATCACCTTACTCCCATCTCCCCAAAACATTTCCCCATACATTATTCCTCATTCCTTCACCCTCACCATGGTCCCCAGGCTCCTCCCAGAGGTTGAGCTCCAATAAGGATTCATTGGACTGCAAGGATTGCTGGGATGGAACCTTCTTTCGAGCATCCAGAGGGGAGCTAAAGGGAGTTATGGATGAGTGCTGAGCCCAGTCAGGCACTAGAATCCTCTCACATCCAAAATCCCCTTGCCCTGACCCAGCATTAACCCACTAGGTACTGACCATCCCCACAGACTCATTCCCCACCTCTGTGTTGAGGCCACAAACTCCTGGAAGGAGAAATCTGGTGGGGCTGGAGGAGGGGGCTCTGGCCACATTGTCTGTACAAACTCAAGGTACCGCTGACCAGGCTCAAAGGGCGTACAGCATTCACTAAGTGCTGAGAAACCTTGGGGTCCTCGCTGAGCCAGGTTTCCCCGAAGGCTGAAGAGGTACATGGACACCTAGAGAAGCACATAGATCCCTTATAGAGCACTCAGAAACCCAGAAATTTCCCCTCCACCATCTCTCAAACCTTTAGAGGCCCCCAAATCCTCTCTAAGGGAACTGACCTCTAAGAGACACCCCCATCCCAACACTCACCTTCTTGAGCTCCACATCCCCCTGAAGCAACATCTTCCGGACACGGGACACGATTCTCTGTTTTGTAGCCTCCAGATCCCGCTGCCGGAGGTTGGCCTCCCGGATGCAGGCCTGATAGTGAGCTTCAGCTTCCTGTGCCTGGGGAAACCAAGGTATGGAGAGGGAAGGGAAACTGACGCACAGAGAGCGAGGGGGAATAGAGACATGGGGGGGTGGGGAGGGAGACTCGAACACTGAGCAAAATCAGAAGCTGGGCCCCTACCTTGGCCTGGGCATCATCCCGTGAACGGCGCCTTCGCTCTTGCTGTTTGCTGGGAGCCTCAGGAAGGCCCAAGATTCGAGCCTGTGCATCCTCACTCCTCTGTAGGTACTGGACCCGAGCTCGCCGCAAGGCCAGCACTGCCTCATTCTGGGGTCAGAGGTCAGGGTCAGTGGTGGTAGGGGTCAGGGATGAGCAGGTACCTCCCTCTTCCCTGGTTTCCCCCTCACCATCCTCTTCTGTTCACGAGCCCACTGAGCCTTCATCTCTTTCCGTCTTTTCTCTATTTCATTCCTCTGGGCCACTAGGGGCTGTAGGAACAGAGACCAGGGTTGAGAAAGGCCTATAGCTCTGGGACTCCCTACCTGCTCAACTCTTCCTAGGAGTTAGTGGGGATGAGGGTACATGCACATGCCCACATACATATATCATATACACACACACACACACACACACACACATAAACCTGGTAATAATTATGTTTCTGCTGTGTCAGTATCTGCAGTGTCAGGTCTCCAAGGATGAAGTCCTGCTCTAGGAAGAGGCCATAGACATCTCGGAGTGGTCCAGGAGGATGCTAGGGAAAGGGCAGAAATCAAGAGAGGAAGCTAGAGTTAAAGGACCATAGCCTGATAGAGCTGGATATGACCTTACAGAAACACGGTCAGCTGACTCTCTGGGCCCAAGGTCACTGGAGACCAGCATCAGAGCTGGGATTGAATGTAGCTCTTCTGACTTCTAGGCCTGAGCTCTTTCCTCCATAGGAGGAGAGACAGGGGGCTGGGGCTGAGGGAGGATGGGGATGGGGGAGAGGGGAATGACTCTGAGAAGGGTTAATAGGGCCATACCTGCTGCTGGATGGATACCTTTGCTGCCTCAGCGAGCTTCATGATGTTTTTGGAAAATTCTAGCTCTGGGAAGGGAAAAATGAAACCAAATCTGAGGTTAGAGGTCATGGTTGGCTGTAGATGATTATAAAGGCTAAGAGCTGGAGGCAGAGGAGAAGAGCGTCAAGGTCAAAAGTCTTGATTAAAGACTGGGGTCCACTAGTATCCAAAGGTAGAGTAGAAACAAAGGTTGAGGCCGGAGGTCAGGGGACAGGGCTGGGGTGTGGCCAGGAATCACCATAGCTTGCTCTCTTTTCAGTCCAGCTCAAAATCTCTTTTAGATGTCTGCTCCACATCTTGGCATAATCCAGGGCAGCCTCCACACCTCCTTCACTGCGCACAAGCCGGGTGTCCAGTTCCTCCCCTTGGGAAAAAGGGTCAACTGAAGGGACTGAGCCAATCCTTAACCTGACCCCAAGCCCCAGCCCTTGACCCCAGCCTGTACCTGTGAGGGGGACAGGGCCTCCAGGGAAGGGGCTGCTCCAACTTTGGGTCTCATTAGTCTAGGGGAAAAAATCAGTGTTTGGCTGGCGGTCACTGATTCCCGAGTCCCTTCCCTAGGACCTAGGCAGGAATTCTTAGAGGTATCAGCAGATCCAATCTTTCCCTCTCCCTCTCCCTCTCCTCTTACCTCCACTCCTGGCTCAGGGTCATCCAATGTCTCTGAGTCTCCAACCAACATTTCCACAGCCCTGGAGGTGGGGGGAGGGGTGGGGGTAGGTTAGGGTGTCCCCTTGGCTGGGTCTGTCTGGGGTGGGGGTCAGTGGGTTTTGGATTTCTGGGGTTTAGGGGGGTCATCTTGCAGGACTCTGGGTTTGAGGCTTATCTTTCTCCCTCCCCTCTTCCCTCCTCCACCACTCACGAGTTTCCCAAAGAAATCTCCAAGTTGTCCAGGCTCCTGAAGATTTCACTGTAACGATTTCTGTTCTCAGCGCCCTGAGTCTGGGGGAGACCTGGAGGTGGAGTATGGGTGAAAAAGGGGTTGTACATATCCCAACTACACTTACTTCATGCACACAGACCATCCCAGCCAGGGGCAGGTGTTCCTGAGCCTGTATGAAATTTCAATCCTAGGAAGGCTCAGACCCCATGTCTGTCTCTGCCTTCCGGTCTAAGTTTTTAATCACAATTAGGGCTCCAGGAACTCATAGACACACAGACATTTACACGTGTGATGCACACTGGAGCACAAGTATGCATATACACATACATACACACAGACACATACCTGCACACAGACTAGCACAAGGAGGGAGAAGGGTGCTCGGTGAATGTCAATGGGCCCTTCCCCCACCCCATTCCATATTCAGCAGAAGCAGAAGCAGCCACTTCCCCCACCTTGGCAACCGGATGGGGGAGGGCCGGGCATGAGGGTGAGGAGGGGGCAGTTGTGGGGACAGGAGGAGGGGGCAACTTGAACCCTCCTGTCCCCCCATACCGAACTGGGCTCCTTCCATGGCTCCAGGTGCAGGCCCAGGGGGCTGCTAGGTGGAGGTGACCGGATGCAGCAAAATTAGGGGCCAACCTCTCCCCTCCCACCGCCCCCCAGGCTTCCTGCTTCCGTACGGGTACCCGCCCCGCCTCCACAGGGCGGGGACACGCGCGGGCGGGAAGTTCACTGTGCGCCCAGTTTCTCGCTCCCGCCCCCCACGTGCTGGTTCAAGCTGAGCAGGCCTGGGGTTGTGAATTTCTGTTGGCAGGCTGGCATCGCCGGCCCTGGTCACCATCCAAACTTAGAACCCGCACAGAGACCCGGAACCTGGCTCCCCCCTCACAGACAGACACAGACAGACACACTGGAACCCACACTTACACGCAGCCCAAGGGCTTTTCCGAGACCCGCCCCGCCCACAGAGCCCTAGACTCCACCCCCTCACCTGGGTTCCTGCCCCCTCACCTTGCACCGCGTTGACTAATGCTGCCACGGCCCCCCGAACACATGGTCCTACCAGCACCGGGTGCTGGGTCTGGAGCTCGGCCACTGCCTGAAGCAGGTCACTAAGGTGAGCCTCTAGGGGGTCAGGCCCAGCTCCGCCTGCCGGGGAGGCGGCGTGAAGGTCCAGCCCGGACAGTCCTCCCCGCATCCAGGCTCTGTGGGTCCGACCCCCCGTCTTCTGGATGCTCTCCCCCGCGGGCCAAGGGTGACCTTGCCGCCACCACTCACAGCCCTCCCGGCACAGCGCCCGAAAGTTGAGGAATTTCCCATTGATGAGGCGGAGGTGCGCCGAGACCCGGCGGAGCTGGCCCGGTGACTTCCAGCCAGGGTTGAGGCCAGGCATCTGCTGGGCAGACACCCCGGGGGGACCCAGGCGTTCGTCTTGTGCCGGGGGCTCCCCTACAGCCTCAGCCCGGCTCATTGCTTTCTGGCAGATGTAGACCATGGGCTGCTCCGGGAGTTCGAAGACCCAATGGTACTGGTCCCAGCTGGCATAGGGCCTCCTTGTGAGAAGCCCAGGAGGTCACGGGAGCCCAGCGACCCTGTTCCTGGGTGGCCTTCACGGGTCTGGACAGACGCAGGGGGCTGCCCCAGCCAGGTCGTGGTGAGGGTGGCTCGGCCACATTCCAGCTCCTGGCTGACAAGCTAAGCATTAATCTCTCTCTCTGACTGGGTAGGCTGGGAACTAGCCAAACGGGAGGAACCTTATAAAGAGGAGTGGAGGCACCACTCCTGGGGCTTGCAATCTGGGACAGGGAATCAGAACTGCCCCAGAAGGAAGCCTACTCATCTGGTTCTGTTACTGCCACCCTATGGTGTCTCCAGCCATTAGGGAATAGGGAGAAGGAATGACATCCGATATGAAGAGGGGAAAGATCTGAACCACTTTTTGTTGGCTCATGGGATCATAGGAAAAACAACCCTCTCTCCATTTAAAAAAAAATTAAATGAAGACAGAGTTAATGGAGGCTCAAAGGGTTCAACAATAGCCCAGGAAGTACCAGCTGGACCAGTTGTTGGGAATGGACAGAGGGTGGGGCTCTGGGTGAGGAAGGAAGCCTTAAAAAAACCAGCCAAGCAGGCTGGCAGGTAGCTTCCCTTGCCTGCATCACCCACCTCCCCCCTTCCCAACCTAGGGACTCCTCTCCAAAGAGGGGCCTTTCCAGTTCCAGATCCTCATCCTATGATAACAACAGACAGTTGAGGCTTAGGTTAACTTTAAAATACGCTGATGTCGCTTTATTTACCAAAGGGGGGAGGAATAGAGCAGGGGGCTACAGTACAAAAGGTTCCCACTTAAGTCTGTCCTAGAACATCACTTAGAACATCGATGAGGAAGGGGGTGGTCACTGCTCCTCCCTACACAGTCTGGGCTCGTCCAGGCCCCCACCCTGGGCTGACATGGTTGCCTGTCCTTGGTCCTGGGAAGGAGGGCCCCAGGTTCAGGCTTATGAAGGCACTTTCATCTTCGGGCTCCCCAAGAAGAACTGAAGGAGACGGTCTACCAGGAGGGCCATACAGAAGTCGAACAGCAGGACCTGAGCAATCACCAGCTTGAACTGGAGGACATGGAGGGAGCATTAGAAGGAGGAGAGAACCCACCTAATTCTACTAGAAACTTCCCTGGTGCCTCTGGGGGAAATACAGTGGAATGAAGGAAACTCCAAGGGTCTGGACTAGAAGACTACAAGGTCAGTGTTCCCTGGAGGAAACTCCAAAGGACAGAAATGGGGCACCAGAGTCAGATGCAGCTTGAATGGAGGTCCTCCTTACCTCTACAGGGATGTCCACAAGCCCAAACTGGCTGTTGAAGTCAGGGGAAGAGCCCAACAGGAGACCAGCAACAGCAGCAGTGGATATACCGAGGCTCCACAGAAGGGGCTTGTTCTCCCGAAGGCTCTCCATGAATGGGGGACCCTGGGGGAGGCCAGGGTCACTCAAACCTCTTGCCCTAACCTCCTCCTAGGGCTCGTGTAGTCAGTGGGGTAAGGTGTTGGTGGGAATTAGGGTCTTCCCAGGACTAATATTATGGGGCTGGATGTGTTGGCAGAAATTGGGGGCCCTATAGGACTGCAGGGGTTCCTGGGGGTTAGTTCAGTAGGAGAGGCCTCACCTTATAGTTGATGGCAAAAGTGGCCATCTGCATGGCCATAGCCATGATATACACAGTGCTGTTGACCAGGCTCGGCTCAAACTCTTTGTACAAATCCACAAACTCTTCCTTCCTAGAGAAGAAGGGAGGATTAGGATTCCATAGGCATGTACTGGGACAGAAGTCATTACCCTCTAAACCCTCACAGAGCCCTACCTCTCAGTTACTGTGGGGAGAAGAAAGGGGAAGGCACAGTAACTACTCACTTGCCAGGGCTTCGGGCCTGAGCCCCCTTGTATAGGTAGATGAGACTCAGAAAGTGCACCAGAAACTGCAAGAGCACGGTGAGGATGGTGTACAGATTGAAGATGTTGGGCAGTGGCCGCTCTGGTGACAGTGTCTTCAAGGGCTAGGGGTTAGAAAGGTCTGCTCATCCTTGCTCTAGAGAGGATGAAGCAGGACAGACCCCATACTCCCAGAGAAAAAAGGAGGTATACCCATTTCCTTCAATTAGAACACACATCTTTCAGAACTCTTCCCTCATTAACCCTTGCCCCTCAGCCCTCCTAATGCATTAGAGTTCACAGGATTCAAAAACAACAACCAACCCCTTTGTGTTTGTCTTTGACCCCCATCCCCTCTGTACAGACTGCACTGACTCTAGTCCTCGAAGATCAGGCGATGTCTTCCCTCTGTCTCCCACAATGGTGGTCTGCTCGCCTGCACTGCCTCTACAAACCTTGGAGCGGGAGATGAAGAGGAAGCAGCCAGCCAGCAGTAGGCCCTGCAGTGTGGCCTGGAAGTCACTGAACTTGACCCCTTCCAGGTAGAGGACGCTCTGGCTGTAGGCAAGGATGAGCGCATTCAGGGCAAGGATCTTGAACATCTGTAGCGTGGTCACCAAAGTACACCGGCCTTGTTTGATGACGTGGCAGACTGCAGGAGAGGAAGTAGAGGGGGACAGCTCACAGTCAGGCTTGGGAACTAGAAAGGAGCCAATACTAAAAAACCTCCCATCCCTGAAGGAATGAGATCAGAGTGATGACTAGCACAGGGCCTTCAGTAAGTCCTCTGGTGGGAGGAGGCAGCAAAGGGTCGAGTATGAGGGTCAATCACCAGAAGCAGGCTGGGTTAGGGAGAATGAATGAGGATGAGGAGCTGGTCTCTATTAGTAAAGGGAGGTCAGGAAGGGTCAGTATCTGTTAGTGCTATAGCCCTCAGGACTTGAATACTCACTGCACTGAATGGATGAGAGCTTGGAGGTAAAGGGGGCCGCTATGCTAGCATCTCCCAGCTTCACAACAGGGGCATGGTCCTCCTCTAGGTCCCTTAGCACCTGGTTGAGACGCTCCTGCAGGCAGGAAGGGAGACAAACATGCCCAAGTTATAGCTCAGAAGGGCCTGTTTCCTAGAGTTCTGTGGCAATCTCACATACCCGCTGGAGATTCAGTTGCTCCTCCCGTGCAGGCCGATGTTTGATCAGCCTTGAGGGCATCCTCACATTGCTGCTGCTCAGAGAGAGTCTGCCTTCACTGGGGCCATCCCTGGGTCTTCGACGCCTCTCAAATATCCGTTCTGGGGCATTGGCCAACAGAGCAACCCCTGAAAGGTACAAGTAGGGCTGGGAAGGAAGGATATGTGCACCCTCCTTCCCTTATAGAAGACATTGGGGGACTCTGGGGAAGAGTGTGAATATTTTGGCCATAGGAAGAATGGCCACACAGCTTACAATCACTACCACACACTCACTAGGAATTCACCATGCCACCTGAACAAATTTCCATCTGTCTCAATGAATATCCCACTTTCCCCCACACCCTTACACTAGAAGCTGTATAGGCAGGCAAATGCATGACTCCCTATTCAGATGGGGAGTCTCACCCACCACCCCTTCCCTTACCCACATCCGCATGCTTCAATGCCCCAACATCATTGGTGCCATCCCCACACATCAGGGTTACGTAGCCAAGCTCCTTTAGGCTAGTGATGACAAACTCCTAGGACAGGAGGGGGAGTGGTCAGCAAGAGGGAAACCTATAATGGTCCCTTCTCCCCCACCCCTGGCCAGGCTCCAAGATCACCTTCTGTTTGGGGGAGACTCGGGCAAACACCTGTACATGGGGAATAAGCTTGAGCAGGTAGTTATGGTCATAAGCCTGGAGGTGGGCAAGGCCATCCCCTGTGAGGCACAATGCATGATTTGAAGTCAGCTCCTTCGTGGAGCTCTGGATGAGTGGGAAGACGATGGTGCCATCAATGGACTGCCACTGCCACTCAGAGCCTGTAACACATCAGGAACCACATGGTAAATTTATGTGAATTCTTTCCTTCTTTGACCTTTGGGATGCTATGATATTGTAGTGATTCTCCTACTTCTTAGCATTTCCTCTCTACCCTCTTTACTGGCTTCCTTTCCTTCTGACCACAAATTATGGGAACCCCACAAGGCAGCTCTCTCCATACTCTCCCTCACTGACCGGATAATCTTTCTGCCTTCAAATTCTACCACTATGCAAATGGTTCACATTTCCTTTATTTGGAATTT